TCTGTTTTCTTTGCCTTGTGCCTGCAGTTGCGCTGACGTTACGGCCGCAGGAACACGTACGAGTGCAACCACCCCTGCATCCAGCAAAACCTTGGAAGAGGAGCACCAGGACCCAGCTGTCAGGATGTGCTGCAAGAGGCAGATAGCAATCTTTCGTCATCCTGAAACACGTTGCTTTTACAAGGAAAAACAGAGATAGTACATTATTTGTGAAGACCTGAAAATGATGAAAATTATGAAAATAGTACTGAGTAACAGGATCTGATCCAAAGTACAAGTCTTTGGGGGAAGAAAACCTTTAATGGACACTCCTCTCTGATTTTTGGGAAGCAAATGACACACAAGCTATGCATCATGGAGGAAATAGATATTAATTCCTTTATATTGTCCCTGCCTTGCACTGGCATGACTGTATCTGCAACAGTGCATTCAGTTTTAGTGGTGTCATTGAAAAAATTCCTGTGTTTTCTTAATCCTAGCTGACAGACAGGAGAAGTTAGAAAAAACACTGTCATACCAAGAAAGAGATGAATGGGGCCTTTGGAGAGGCGACCGCTCGGAGAAAGCGTGGAATCTCTTTGCTTTTCAAGCTTTTCTCTGTATAGCAGTGAGAAACATGATTTCTTGCAGAAAAAAAAAATAGTTATGAAAAGTGCTGCTTCTGGCCACGCTGGAGCTCCACATCTCTTGAAGGCTACCTGGTCACCTGGAAGAACAGAAAAGGTTGTTTTACCAGATGTACCTCTAAAAGCAAAGGCTTACACAGGGAAGATGTGGCATTTTGCAGGAAAATTCAACTGACAGCTTTTCATCATTATTAAATTTGAACTCAAAATAACCACTAACCTGTGCCACGGTTTGCAGAGGAGCTTGTTCCCGGCTTGGTGTGTGCAGCTCTGCTCACTGCAACCAGTACCAGGACTTCCCACCAGCGTTTGCTTAATGGGTCTGGATTGCCCTGTCCAAATTGCAGGTTCCAAATGCTGTTTGTTCGGAACAGCTGTTATCTGAGCTGTGTTTATCTCTTCACTCGGGAGTTTGCAAAAGTCTAGATGAGGTGTTTTCTGCCCCCATTTCCTGGAAAAAGTCTCAACGAGTCAGGAAGAGAGCAGATAACAGATTAAGGTCCTTATGAAATCCATGGTGGAAAATGGCAGCGGGGAAAAAAGCTTCCTAGAAAAGGGAATGTGCTGGTTTTGCACTAAACTGAGAAGTGTGAGGCTGTCGGCAGCTGAGGTGAAACTCAGCTAAGAGCTCTCATGTGAACTCCGCCGTTACACACGTGGAAATCTCTGGGCTTGATGCAAGCGGCTGCTTTGGCTGAGCAGAAACCTCTCTCCAAGGAACGTGTCCCCATCACGTGAGGAGCCCAAAGTCACGCTGCTCAGAGCAGTTGCATCAGGTCAGTGATTAAATATGTCAGATTGAGGAAGCAGAGCCCCAGCAACTGGGGCTACCCCTCAGCAGGATTGTGTTTGGAGGCTACACGTGTGTATAAGTGAGATAAACAGCAGTAAAGGGCAGTTTTAAAGGGCAGGCCGTAAAAGCAGCCTGCGCTTAGGTTGCCGGGCGTGATAAAAGCAGTTACGAGCAACGGTGCTGGGGAAGGGCAAAGTCCCTCTCCAAAGGCCTGGACCCAAATGTTGGGAGCAAAGGGTTGCAGAGCTCCAGGCTCCTGTTTCTGCTGCAGGTTGAATCCACATATTGCCCACAAAGAGCCGTGGAAATCCCGCTCCCTTGTGTGTGACTACTGGCTGTTCGCTTCTATCCCAAGGGTTAGATCTGGTGTTGTAGAAGGCCAGTGCTTGGATCTGGGTCATTAACACACTCCAGGGATTTGCAGGGGACTGGGGAACCTCGCGGGCACCTGAGCAGAAAGCGGCCACCTTCTCCAGCATCCTCGTTGCGCCCCTTGGTGTTTCCAGACACTTGGCGTTGGCTTTCTGAAAAGCAAAAATACACAATTCAGTTTTGGCTGTTGGGAAGCAACAAAAGCATTTGGGAATCCCGAATGCCAGGAGGAGAGGACAGGCCGATCAGGGGGCTACTCCTGGAGGTGACGACAGCGCAGAGCCATGTCTTGGTGGCCGTCATGGCACAACAACTCTGCAAATGTGCAGACCACAACCGGCCCTGGCGCTGGGCTGCCCAGGGCAAAAGAGACGTCGTGACTCGGAGTGAGGCCAGAGGAGGGTCCCGAGGAGGTGGTGATGGTGGCAGAGGCCGGGAGGAAGGCAAGGAGGCTGGAGAAGAGAAAGCTGCTTCCAGGGCAGGACCTGGCTCTGCCAAAGGGGCTCAGAGGGGACGGAGTCAGACCTCAGTGATAGGATGAAGGGCAACAGCCAAAGGTTCAGCAAGGGAATTTCCAGTGGGATATAAGAGAAGAAATAGTCACTGCAGGAGCAAGCTCTGGGACCCAAAGAGGGGATCCCCATCCTTGGAGCTCTCCAAAGCTCAGGAGAATGAGCTGAGCCCATGATCCAGCTTGGAAGCTGGCCCTGTTTGGAGAAGCAGGTTCGTTTGGAGCCCTCCATGAGTCCTTTCCCCCTAGACCATCGTGATTCTATGAAATGGGAGATATTTGACACTCCAAAACGCCCAGTTGTAGCAGCTACCCAACGCAAACGAGTGTGTCGGAAAAACGGGAGACCTCTGAGAAAACCCTGAGCTGTGACAGATGCTAGAGAAGCCTCATGAATGTGTCAGTTTTATAAATATCCTGCGTTCCCTTGCGGCCCTTGTGACACCTGTGTTCTGGAGGAGCTCTTCCTTGCCACCAAACCCATGGGGGGAAGTTCAGCGGCGCCCGGCGGGACCGAGTGCACTGAGGCGCCGCCGGCTTTTCCGAGGAAGCGGCGCACGGTCCGGCTGAGCCTTGGCCGGAGGCCTGCGCAGCAGCGGAGCCAACGGCAGCGGGATGCAAGTCAAGGCAAAAATTCCACAGAAAATGCCTCGTGGGAGGATATTGTAAGACTTTTCAGTGTCTCCGCATGGAGATGCTTCCCGAGATGTTCTAAGCAGGCGGGCTCAGGATGTGTTTCCTGTTGCATGGCTGCTGTCCCGTGGGCTTCTGTTATCCAGTCGCTCTTTATCCCCACTCTTATCCAGGGAGCTCCTGTGCTTTGCTGCTGTAAAACCGGCCGTGTGCTCTGCTCTAGTGGGAAGCCAGCCCTTGAATCCAGCTTTGGACAGCGGAGGGATGAGGAAAGGTGGTGGCCAGACGTCCTCGGGGTGGGAGAAGGGACTCAGGGGAGAGCTGGTGGCCTCGCGACAGGCAGAGGAGAAGGTTCCTGATCTGTTTTTCACGCCTGGAGACAGCAGATGGCAAAATGCAAGGGAATAGGCTGTGCTGGGAAATATAAGCGGTAAGTGGAGGAGTTTTCTTTTTTCCAGAAAATGTGGCAGGGAGGAGGGAGAGAGGAAGGACAGTGGCTGCTCTGCTCCCGTGGAACGAGTCTCAGCTCTCCCCTTTCTCACTGTTTTGAGGCACTGGTCACACTTGGAGACAATGTCACCGAGGGAAGCGATGGGCAGGTTTGGCTTGTCCCCCATTCCGGACAGAGCCGAAAGGGAGCCAGGAGAGGGGAGTTGGGCAGCGCGGTGCTCCCTGCGCACGGTGCCAATGAGCCACGGCTTTCCTTGGCCCAGGAGGATGTTTTGCAGGATGGAGCACAGGGGTAAAGCCCCATTTCGACTTCTTTGCACGTGGGCAGTAACTAGGAGGTGCTGGCAAACGTGCTCATGCAGGGTCCTGCTGCAGCTCTGCTGTGCTGGGAAGCCCCATGTCCACCAGGACTCCTGCCAAAGCGGCCGTAGTGTAGCTACATCCCAGCTTTCTGGGGCTGCCGTTACGCTGCAAAGAGAAGGCAAAGCTACTGCGGCCAGCATGGAGCACGGAGCTCGCGGGTCAGCCTCAGAGCTGCTGGAATGGGAAAGGTGGAGCTGGGGACCTGCTTCTGCGGAGGCACCGCGGAGCTGCCGCAGCCTCGGGGAGCTTTTAGAGCGTCAATGGGAATCGCTCAGCGAGCGCCGTGTGCCGGAGCTGGGGAGCAGGGGCTCCCGCTGCAGCCCAGCAGAGCCAGGATGTTTTCCTAAGTCGGAGCAGAGCTCGGCAGGGCGGTTGGGGGCAGTGAGAAACGGGGAGCATCTGGGCTGTGTTCGCAGGCAAACAGCGCCTGCAAGAGCGACCCAGAAATGCAGCCTGGGAAGTCATTTACCGCTCCGGAACGGTGCGTACCCGCGGGAATTTCCCTACCGTTCCCCGGCCGCAAAATAAAAACAAAAAAAAAAAAGCAAAATTATCAACATAAGATTTGCAAAAAGCACAAAACCCACCTGCTTCCTCGCCCCGCGCAGGCAAATATCCTGCCCGGGGGGTGTTGGGCGCCCGTCCGTGGCGGCGGCTGCGGCGAAACAAAAGCGCCGGCCCGGGCGGGGGGCGGCCCCGGGGCCGCGGCGGTTGCGCAAGGGGGGTCTTTCCCGGGGCGGGTGGGCGGGCTGCGGCTTTAAAGGTGCTGCCGGGAGCGGCGCGGAGCGGGGCGGCCGGAGCGCGGTGAGGGCAGCAGCA